TAATAGAGACTGGGGATAATTTAGAGAAGCTAGATGCTTTCAAGTTGGCAGGGCCAGATGGGATGCACCTTAGGGTTCTGAAGGAACTGGCTGAGGTAATTTCAGAGACATTAGCAATCATCTGTGAGAACTTGTGGAGGTTGGGTGAGGCCCAGGACAACTGGAAAAGGGAAAATTTAATGCCCATCTTTAGGGGAAGATGGAAGATCTGGGGAACTGCAGACTGGTCAGACTCACCTCAATATCTGGAAAGATCATGGGGCAGGTCCTCAAGGAATCTACTGTGACGCAACTAGAGAAGAACAAGGGGACCAGGAACCGCCAGCATGGACTCACCAAGTTCAAATCATGCCTGACTGACCTGATTTCTTTCTGGAAATAACAGAATGCACAAATGCAGACTGGGGAATGACAAGCTAGGTTACAAAACTGCATAGAAGGACCTTTAAGTTAAGCAGATGATAAGATGAATGAGTAAACAGTATGCTCTTGCTGCATTAAACAAACAAACAAAAAAAACTGCATGCTGGGTTGTATTAACAGAATTGCTGCTTGCAAATCAAGGGAAGTTTTTTTTTTGCTCTTTTCAGCAGCAGTGAGGCCTCAACTGGAGTATGTTTGTCCAGTTTTGGGCCTCATACTTCAAGAAAGATGTAGACAGATTGGAATCTACCTTGATTTTAGTAAGGCTTTTGATATGGTCTCCCAAAACAGTCTCACAAGCAAGCTAAGGAAGTATGAGCTGGATGAATGGATTGTAAGGTGGATAGAAAACTGGCTGGAAGATCAGCTTCAGAGGGTAGTAATCAATGGCTCAATGTCTACTTGGCAGAGTGGTATTAAGTGGAATGCTCCAGGGGTCGGTCCTGGGGCTGGTTTTGTTCAATGTCTTCAAAGTTGGCACAGAGTGCACCCTCAGCAAGTCTGCAGATGACATCAAGCTGGAGGGGAGTAGTAGATATGATGGAGGGTAGGGTTAGACAAATTGGACAATTGGGCCAAAAGAAATCTCATGTGGTTTAACAAGGACAAGTGCAAAATCCTGCACTTAGGACAACAATCCCATGCACCGGTACAAGCTGGGGGCTGACTGGTTGGGCAGCAGCTCTGCAGAAAATGACCTGGGGGCTACAGTGGACAATAAGTAGAGGTGCACTGATACATCAGTCCAATACTGGATCGGTACCGATATAAAGAAAATAATCTATATCGGATATTGGTCTTAAGTGGCCGATAATTGGGCTGATAAATTCCTGGGCTGCATACAGCTGCAGTGCAGCATGTAGACAGTGAAGACACAGCTGGCAGCGTGGAGAGCTGTTTCCAGCTTGTAAGTCTGCAGGGGCAGATCAAGGCCCTGCTGTGAGGGAGGGAGGGAGTCAGGGGCTGGAGCTGGGGCAGGGGCAAGTGCTGCCCGGTCAGGGTGGTTGGGTGGGGGACAAAGCCTCAGTTTGTCCAGGGGTGTGGGATGGAGCGGGGCTCATCCAGGGGAGAGGTGAGGGAGAGGCAGAGGCAGCTCATCCACCAGCACAGCTCATCCACCAGCTCCCACTGCTGCTGCTGTCACTTGTCTGGGAGGGCACCAGGGGGCATATGACCCTGGATCTGTGCAGGGTGGGGTGGGCTGAGACCAGGGCTGTTGCCAGCAGAGCCTGAGATGGGCGGGGCGTGAGGTGGGCAGCGGTGCCACTGGGAGTGGGGGGGTTATAAAGGGGTGTACGGTGAATTTCAGGGTGGCTGCAGTCCCCCCTGTAACCCCCTCCGAGCAACATTGCCTCCTGCCCCATGTGGCCCAGGCTCCACTGGGAACAGACCTTGGATCTGCATGGGGTGTACTGGGGCTGGGGCAGTTCTCAGCAAAGCCTAGGCCAGGTGGGGTGTGGTGCTGCTGGAAAGGGGCTATGGGGGGGGGGGGGTGCAGGCCCCCCAAAATTTGCTGTAACCCCCTCACAGCCCCCTGCTCCCAGTGGTGCTACCACACACCCTGCGCCCCACCTGGGCGGCCCAGGCTCCATGGGGAATGACTCTGGCCCCAGCCTGCCCCACCTGGTGCAGATCCAGGTGCACATGCCTCCCCATACCCTCCTAGACGAGTGATACCAGCAGTGGCAAGAGCTGGCGGATGAGCCATCGGACCAGCTGTGCGTGGCAGTAGGAGCCACCTCTGCCTCCCCCTTCTCCCGCACTCCCCAGATGAGCCCTGCTCCATCCTACACCCCCCAGATGAGCTGCAGCTTTGTCCCCAGCCCACCCTCCCCAACTGGGCAGTGCTTGCCCCTGCCCCAGCTCCCATCCCTCATGGTGGAGCCTTGATCTTCCCACACCCCTTCTCCTACCACACCAGACTTACCTGCTGCAGGCAGTGCATCAGATAGGTATTGGCCGATATGCCTCCTTAAATATCAGCTATAAGTATCGGCCTCAAAAATCTCTATCGGTGCACCCCTAACAATAAGCTGGATATGAGCCAACAGTGTGCCCTTGTTGCTAAGAAGGCTAAAAGCATACTGGACTGCATTGTAGGAGTGTTGCCAGTAGGTTAAGGGAAATGATTATTCCCCTCTATTCAGCACTGGTGAAGCCACTTCTGTAGTACTATGTTCAGTTTTGGGCCCCCAACTATTGAAAGGATGTGGACAAATTGGAGAGAGTCCAGCAGAGGGCAACAAAAAACGGTGAGGGGGCTGGGGGGACATGACTTATGGGGAGAGGCTGAGAGAACTGAGCTTATTTTAATTTAGAAGAGAAGACCGAGAGGGTATTTAATAGCAGCCTTCAACTACCTGAAGAGTGGTTCAAAAGAAGATGGAGCTAGACTGTTCTCAGTGGTGACAGAACAACGAGCAATGGTCTCAAGTTGCAGCAAGGGAAGTTTAGGTTAGATATTAGGATGAATTTTCTCACTAGGAGGGTAGTACAACATTGGAACAGGTTGCCCAGAGAGGTGGTGGACTCTCCATCCTTGGAGGTTTTTTAACAACTGGCTAGACAAAGCCTTGGCTGGGATGCACTGCTTTGAGCAGGGGGTTGTACTAGATGACCTCCTGAGGTCCCTTCCAACCCTAATTTTCTATGATACTATGAAAGAATCTAGTGGAGGTGATGACAATTTTTAGAGGTTTAGAAGGCAAGATATACAAGGAAAGGCTGAAATAATTTAGATTATTTAGTTTGGAGGTGAGAAAACTGAGGGGGACTTTGATAACAGTCTTCACATATTTGAAGAATGATCATAAAGAAGATAGTGACAGGTAGGGGACAGGACTAAGAGGAATTGCCTGAAACTGCAGCAGAGGAAATTTAGGCTGGAGACAGGAAAAACTTCCTGACTATGAAACTGGTCAAGCTTTGGAACATGCTACCTAGAGAAGTTGTGGAATCTCCATTCCTGGAAATTTTCAAGAGCAGGTTAAACAAACATTTGACGGCATGGTTTAGTCAGGGATGATGATGCCTTGAGCAGGATGCTAGGTCTCTTATGAGGTCCCTTCCAGCCCCACTGTCCTACAATCCTATGATAATCACAATAGCTCAATAGTTACACTGGCTTCAAGTAAAGTTTTGCAGATTTAGTTCTTCCGTTAACTCCCAAGTCTGCAAACCTGACTGACCTCTTACTGCGTATATCTCCCCAACATGCCTGGAGAAGACTGAGCCTCTCAAAAATGACACACCCTCTTCTCTGTTTGTGAGGCTGAAAACATACTGAACATCAATTATACAGCTGCTATGACTGGGTAAATGGATATTCAGGACACCTGGGCAGAACATCTAGGGGCTTTGTGGGATGTCATCCATAAGCTTCAGAGAAGTATGAATCTAAACTTCTCCAGACACCAGAAATACTGCATTTCTACTTAAATTCTTACTTATTTGCCTTGGACGGTTTGCATAGTAAACAGAACTAGCTCATATCCATACCATATGTGTGTTGGTGTTGAGATCTGTCACAATAGGATACTGACAGTTGACCTACCCATAAAGGACCTGGTTCTATAAGGTGCTAAACTGCCCTCAGTTAAATCATTGTGGGTGCATCTACACATGCACTTTACTACAGAGTAGACCAACTAGCTCTGCAGTAAAGTGTCACTGTCTACATTTGTGATGGTATTAGGGTGCAGTAAACTGATTAACTCTGCTGTAAGATAGTACTGTTATGGGTTCTGACCAGGGGCATAAATTGTATCCAGTCAGCCTAGCCAGCTACAGGCCTGCTCCGTCCTGGCTCAGATTGCTGGTGTCTCAGGGACATGTGTAGATACTGCACCTGAAACTGCTCTGGGGTTTATTGCTTTGCATTAATTGCATGCGTAGATGCACCCTGTAGGTTTAAGATGTCTAGGATAATCCTGAAGGTTTGCTCTTTACTGAACAAATCAGAGTAAACTCAGCATAGACATTAATTTAAAGATAAGATACCATCAACACTTTCTTTATTAAAACTAGTGGTGAAAACAGTGCAGAAGGATGTGGAAGTGGCACAATTCCTAGTCAGATGGCATTGTGCGCGTTATTATTTTGGGGTGTATTTCAACATACACTTATGCCATTTTCAGAAAAATAAGGAATAGAACAAATGTAGCTGACTAACATGGAGGAATTTAAAAAGGTTTAACATTGTAACCACATACTAGCTAGTATGTTATCCCATGAGTGAGAAAAGATAAAAAAGGTCTTTCAGCTATTGTCCATTTCTTCCATGAATATTCTCTCAGAATACGTTTTAACTGAGGTTTTAAAAACAAATCAATAAACCTACTGAGGAAAGACTATAATTTTAAAAAAATAGGCTTAAATCGTTCTTTTGCCTAGACAATATCATTCTACATTGGCCTCCACTGATTTTAACAATGTGATACAACTCACAAACCTCTAAAGTTTGTTCAGCACTGGTGCGATTGTTTCAGTTATTTTCTCTAGCAACACACTATACCAAAGATAAGCATTGGACACCACGGATCTGTTTAAGATTGAGGTAGAAAAATGTTGAGACTTACATATCCGTAATGTCCTTTCCGGGAACAATTGTAGCAATATGCTATGACTGAATACTCAGAAGAACTGGCCTTCTTGATTGGTCCTGGTTTGGTCTGCAATAAGAAAAATTGGTGAGAAGTAGATCTGGGAAGATTCAAAATGCTAAAATCAAGGTAGGTTAAAATAAACAAAACAAAAATCTGGCAGTGATACTGACAGCTTTCCAGAGGGAAAAAAACAAGTGTGCAAGAAGCTTGGGATACAAGACATACGTTGTTCATTTTATTGTAATATTACACAGAAAATTATCCTGATCACTGAAATCAGTTGGGAGAGAAAACTTTAATGTTAATTCTGTATTGTCATTTCATTTCAGTGATGAATACTGGAACATAAGTTCTTGATTTATTTTTCTCTTCCTCCTTTTTTATTATATATTCATTTATTTTTACAGATGCCCCACTTTCCCCAGGGAGCAACGAGGGCCATCAGATATTACATCCACCAGCTGGATAGGAGCATTTGTGTATTAAAAAACTAGTCCCTCCCAGCAGGGCTCACTTACAGCAGTATGGCAAGGATCTGAGAGGGAGGGAGAGAGGGAGGGAGGGACAGACAGACACAGCCTAAGACTACTACGCTCATGTTTCCATCCCCTACCACAATAAAAGGAAAGAGAAGAAAAAGGTTCCCTTCTAAAAGAACTTGCTACTTTCCATTTCCCAGCCAATTTAGGGGTCTATATTAAACAAAAAATTAATTCTTCTGTTTAGCTGTTCAAAGTTGGAACTTTTTCCGGCTGATATAATGCAAAGACATACTTGGCACACACTACTGAATGTAATGGAATATGCATTTTTCCTCATTTCTATTGGATAAGTTTGTTTGAAGGGGGAGGGTTCAAATTTTAACAAAAATGCATACAAATGTTCTCATGCATTTCCTTAAACATGTTTATAAATAATGGACATGTAGGTAAAAAGAGGAAGGACAGAATATATGACTATGAAAAAACTGGTCAGAATAGAAAACTACTACATTTTAAAGCTCTATACACTTTTAAAAAATTATTATTCACTCTAGTAGAACATAGAGAACTGTAGGATTTCAAAGACTGATATTTTGTACGATTGCTTGTTATTGTAAAGGTTACTTTTTCTTAAAACCGTCCTCACTGCGTTTGCTTACCATTACTGCTACTAATAATACTGCTGTATGGGCTCTTTCCAGAGAATATTGGTGCTTGTAAAATAGACAAACTACAAGGTTATTCATTAAACTTTGTTTTTTTGTTTTAAGAAAAAACACATTTGATCATGCATTTTAAACCCATTTTAACTGTGGTAGTCAGTGTGCTGCAGGCTTGTGTTACTTTGTTCACATTTCTTTCAGCAGATTGTAAAAAAAAGTATATGGAAAAAGGGCAGATTCATGCAGAATAACATGAAAAATGGAGGAGAAATCAGAGAAAAATAAATTGTGATATGTGGCAAAAGAAGTTACAGCAAAAATGAAAATTTCCTATAAAACAAGACATGGATCTCTTTTCTTCTCTTTCTCTGTATAAAGACCTGTCTAGACAGCAATACATCAAGGCCACCCACTTGTGCCAGCCCAACTTTTTGGGCATCTTTTCTATCATCAGTACTATAAACACAGAGGAAAGAAAACTATGTAAACACATGTTTAAATCCATAGGTTTTTTCCAGGGTGGAATAATTTATAGAAAAAAACTGAAGGAAGTAAAGTTGCCCATCTCCAGCTTGGAAAGAACTCCTAAAAAGCAGAACTGTTTCAAATAATCCAGACCTCCTTCCCTCTCCTGCCACAAAAAAATGTATGGATATTGACATAAGGTTTGAAAGCTGATTTATTGAAGTTGATGTTGTAAAGCTGCCATAAAATCTCAAGAGGTCTATTCCTGGGTTCCTTCAGTCCCCAGTTGTCTACTAGAAAGAGGTCTGCATCTAGACTATACGTGGAGGATAGCTATCAAAGGATGATCAACTGTATAATATAACATTTTATTCTTTATTTGGTCATGAGATGGGTTATATAATGTCTTTATAAGAAATGTTTGAATTAATAGCCTTCATTCTTGTATAGTGTGCTATAACTGAAACACAATTACAACTATGGGACATGCCAGATGGACATGCTTTACTTTCAAAATACTATGCTATACAACTTGTGAATTGTTAAATTGTGTTGCATGGATTTAGCCAACAATTTAGGCTATTATGGTACCTATTTTCATCTCTGTTAAAATTTACCTGTTGCTCAAAACAACACACATTTTTTTCCATAAGTAATGCATTTTTCTCTCTCAAGGCAGGATTTATCAAACACCAAATGTATGGATCAGATTGACATTGCTGACATAAAATTGAACATGCCCACCAGTAAAAACTCAAGTAATTTACATGACTAGATGAACAAATATTAAAGTACTTAGAGATGCCTTTAGTAGAAATTTCATTCTGATCTCATAATTAACCCTAAAAATTGTAGGTAAAAAGGTAACCAGCCTAGCTCATACATTATGTTTGAATTTCTTGAAGCGTGGGTGCTTTCCACTTTTTAAAATGGCTTGGTGCTAATACTTGACGTTTTCAGCAGTCACAACTTCTGACAAACCTACTCAGAAGTTCATATATCTGGATGTTAACCTGAATAATGATTCCAGCTGAAAACTTTGCTATGATAAATGTTATCTGCATGCTATCTTTTGCACTCCTCTTTTGTTGATAGCATGGAGATAAACTGAATAGCTCTTACCTCACTAGGAACACAGGGATGTTAAGCTTTTTGTATTGTACTGTACAAGATCTAACAAGAATCCTTGAGAGTATTCAGTGAATTAGGAATGTATACTCATGTGACACCAAAAACTCTGCACGACATTTCCTTTTGTTTAGCTCATAGAAAAAGGTCAGATTTAAGGACACAAATTAAACTGAATACTTACAGTTCAGATTACCACTATACATAACTCTACTGCTTTCCAAAAGCCAAACAAAAAGGGAATTTGTATGTTTTTAAGCCGTTTTTCTTATTATTTAAGGTTTAAAAAAGCACCTAAAGACTCTGACCAAATGGGTACAAAATGAAGTATTTATGAAAATAGCTCCTCTATGTTATAGTTTTTTTTGTTACAAACATTTAAATAATCTATATTTGTAGGGTGATATCTTGGAGATTACTTCACTATCAATATATAGAAGTAATAACCTGGTAGATAGCATTACCTATGAAAGGTCCATCCCATCTGCTATTCTTGCTGAAAGCTTTTCATGCACCAGTAAACTCAGTAAATATCAGAAGATAAAGCATAAGCCTACCACGCCACGGATTTACTCCTAATGTCTCCTCAAAGTGCAGCCCGATGCAACGATTACAAATGATTTTTCTTCTAATGTCATTTTACATAACCCTTTTTTCTGCATGAGTAGTTAGTGCGGAATGAATGAATGAATGCCATTAAAACAGTTAATCATTATCTGGGACACTGGCCTTCCTCCCTTCTCAACTAGGAATCTCCATGACAAAGGCCAAGAGATCAAAATGCCAGGGCTGCCTCAGTGGCCTATTTCTGACAGTAATTTTTTATGTAAATGGGCCTGCTGGGCAGCTCCCTCTGTGACCTTGAGCTGCCCTTATCTAAACTGACTTTGATCCAATAAGGGCTTGCTTTTATGAAGCTCATTACTACCTAGGATATGCAATCTGACTAAATCTCACTAATTAAAGACAATGTTCTATACATTTTTCTTTTTCACACACACATTTTATATAGATTAAATATTTTACACACACACACGCACATATCTGTTTATACAGAGAAACACATATATGCTAGAATATTCTATGCAAGTTGAACCTTGCATATTTGACAAATACATAGCTAAACATACGATGTGACTTTTAAAGTAAAGCATAGCCCCTGGTTGCATACCCTATGACTAAAATTTATGCAAACACAAAAATCCAACTTCAGTAGTACTAAGAAAGGTAACAATGAAATGAAGTTTAGACATGACTTGAAATGTCCTTTCAAGCTGTTGTCTTTAATAGCCTACATAGAAACCCCTGATTCTAGTTGATTGTCAGATTCTAACATCATCCAACCTCCCCCAAAACAGCATGAAAAATCCAGGTCTACAATGAACAAAGCCTTCACTGGTCCACAAATACCTAACAAAATGATTCTGACAGCGGAGTAAAATACAGAAAGTTTCAAGTACCCACAAATACCCTATAATCAACTGAAATCAATGTTGCAGTCTTATTGTGCAGAACCATTTAAACCATTTGTCAATCTACCTCTGTTTTGGGGCTACTTACAACTATACCAAACAATATTTTAGATTTGTTCTACACCAGCTCTCAACAATGCACAAACTTCATCAACAACCTATATAATTATCAGGGTCTTTACAATGTTTTTTGTACTACTTCCAAAGCAGCCAGCGATGGTGACAGGATACTGGGCACATGGACTGGGCCATCAGGGCAATTGCTGTTTTTCATCTAATCTGCAGATTCAGCTTTCTTCTGCAGTGCCATGCCT